CAGCGGGTGACACCGGGTGACAGCGGGTGACAGCAGGTGACACCGGGTGACAGCGGGTGACACGGGGCGGGTGACACCTGAGGGTGTCCCTATGGGCAGGGGGTGACCGACAACCCCATGGTGGTGCCCGTGTGCAGGTGGGGGACACCGGGTGACACCGGGTGACACGGGGTGGGTGACACCCAGGTAGTCCCTATGGGCGGGGGGTGACACTGGGGGGTCCCCATGGGTGGGGGTCGATGGACAACCCCGTGGTGGTGACACCCGTGTGCAGGTGGGGGACACCGCGGGACACCGGGTGACACCGGGTGACACTGGGGGACACCGGGTGACACGGGGCGGGTGACACCCAGGGAGTCCCTATGGGCAGGGGGTGACACTGGGGGGTCCTCATGGGTGGGGGTTGATGGACAACCCCGTGGTGGTGACACCCGTGTGCAGGTGGGTGACACCGGGTGACACCGGGTGACACCGGGGGACACAGGGCGGGTGACACCTGAGGGTGTCCCTGTGGGCGGGGGGTGATGGACAACCCCATGGTGGTGACACCCGTGTGCAGGTGGGGGACACCGGGTGACACCGGGTGACACTGGTTGACACCGGGTGACAATGGGTGACATGGCGTGGGTGACACCTGAGGGTGTCCCTGTGGGCGGGGGGTGATGGACAACCCCGTGGTGGTGACACCCGTGTGCAGGTGGGGGACACCGCGGGACACCGGGTGACACCGGGTGACACCGGGGGACACCGGGTGACACTGGTTGACACCGGGTGACAACGGGTGACATGGCGTGGGTGACACCTGAGGGGGTCCCTATGGGTGGGGGGTGACCGACAACCCCGTGGTGGTGACACCCGTGTGCAGGTGGGGGACACCGGGTGACACCGGGTGACAGTGGGTGACACCGGGTGACACCGGGTGACACGGGGTGGGTGACACCCAGGGAGTCCCTATGGGCAGGGGGTGACACTGGGGGGTCCCCATGGGTGGGGGTCGATGGACAACCCCGTGGTGGTGACACCCGTGTGCAGGTGGGGGACACCGGGTGACACCGGGTGACACTGGGGCACACCGGGTGACAATGGGGACATGTCCCGGGTGACACCTGAGGGGTCCCTATGAGCAGGGGGGTGACACCGGGTGACAGCGGGTGACGCTGGGGACACGTCCTGGGTGACGGGGGGGTGACGGACGACCCCACGGTCGTCCCCGTGTCCCCAATGTCCCCCATGACCGGTGTCACCCGGTGTCCCCCATTGTCCCCCATTGTCCCCCGGTGTCACCCGGTGTCACCCGGTGTCACCCGGTGTCACCCGGTGTCCCCAGCTGCTCGGGTGACATCGTGGACCTCCCGCTCCGCACCCTGGGGTTCCCTATTGGGGTCCCCCCTGTCCTGGGTACCCCATGACCATTGTCCCCCGGTGTCACCCATTGTCACCCATTGTCACCCGGTGTCACCCGGTGTCACCCGCTGTCCCCCGCTGTCCCCAGCCGCTCGGGTGACATCGTGGACCTCCTGCTCTGCACCCTGGGGTTCCTTATTGGGGTCCCCCCTGTCCTGGGTACCCCATGACCATTGTCCCCCATTGTCACCCGGTGTCACCCATTGTCACCCGGTGTCACCCGGTGTCCCCGCTGTCCCCAGCTGCTCGGGTGACATCGTGGACCTCCTGCTCTGCACCCTGGGGTTCCCTATTGGGGTCCCCCCTGTCCTGGGTACCCCATGACCATTGTCCCCCCGTGTCACCCATTGTCACCCGGTGTCACCCATTGTCACCCATTGTCCCCGCTGTCCGCAGCCGCTCGGGTGACATCGTGGACCTCCCGCTCCGCACCCTGGGGTTCCTTATTGGGGTCCCCCCTGTCCTGGGTACCCCATGACCATTGTCCCCCGGTGTCACCCGGTGTCACCCGGTGTCCCCCATTGTCACCCGGTGTCACCCATTGTCACCCGGTGTCCCCGCTGTCCCCAGCCGCTCGGGTGACATCGTGGAGCCGCTGCTCCGCGCCCAGTGGTTCCTGCGCTGCGAGGGGCCGGCGCGGGCGGCCGCCGCCGCCGTCCAGCGGGGCGACCTGAAGCTGCTGCCGCCGGGACACGCGCGCACCTGGTTCCGCTGGATGGAGAACATACGGTGAGACCCGTAGGGACGTGTAGAATTCCATAGGGACCCATAGGAACCCATAGGAACCCATAGGTGGTCATAGGGACCCATGAGGAACCCATGAGGAACCATGGAGACCTGGTTCCGCTGGATGGAGAACATACGGTGAGACCCGTAGGGACGTATAGAATTCCATAGGGACCCATAGGGACCCATAGGGAACCACTGGGACCCATCGGAACCCATAGGTGGTCATAGGAACCCATAGGTGGTCATAGGAACCCATGTTGAGCCCATGAGGAACCCATGAGGAACCATGGAGACTTGGTTCCGCTGGATGGAGAACATACGGTGAGACCCGTAGGGACGTATAGAATCCTATAGAAACCCATAGGGACCCATAGGGAACCACTGGGACCCATAGGAACCCATAGGAACCCATAGGTGGTCATAGGAACCCATGGGGAGTCCATGAGGAACCCATGAGGAACCATGAGGACCTGGTTCCCTTGGATAGAGAACATATGGTGAGGCCTAGAGGGACGTATAGAATTCCATAGGGACCCATAGGGAACCAGTGGGACCCATAGGAACCCATAGGTGGTCATAGGAACCCATGAGGAACCCATGAGGAACCATTGGGACCTGGTTCCGCTGGATGGACAACATATGGTGAGACCCGTAGGGACGTATAGAATTCCATAGGGACCCATAGGGACCCACTGGGGCCCATAAGAACCCATAGGTGGTCATAGGGACCCATAGGAACCCATAGGTGGTCATAGGAACCCATGAGGAACCATGGAGACCTGGTTCCGCTGGATGGAGAACATATGGTGAGGCCCATAGGGACATATAGAATTCCATAGGGATCTATAGAAACCCATAGGGAACCCCTGGGACCCATAGGAACCTATAGGGCGCCCATGGGGACCCGTTGGGACCTGGTTCTGATGGATGGAGAACATATAGCGAGACCTATAGGGACGTATAGGGGCCTGTAGGGGCCATAGGGACCATGGGTGCCACCCAACCTGTGGGGCCGGGTGACACGTTCCGGGTGACACAGGTTGGGGTGACGCAGTCGGGGTGACGCAGTCGGGGTGACGTGGGTCAGGGTGACGCGGGTCCGGGTGACACAAGTTGGGGTGACACAGGTTGGGGTGACGCAGTCGGGGTGACGCAGTCGGGGTGACGTGGGTCCGGGTGACGTGGGTCCGGGTGACACAGTCCGGGTGACGCAGTCAGGGTGACGTGGGTCCGGGTGACACGGGTCTGGGTGACACAAGTTGGGGTGACGCAGTCAGGGTGACGCGTTCCAGGTGACAGTGTCCGGGTGACACATTCGGGGTGACGCCCTCCGGGTGACACGGATTTGGGGTGGTTGCAGGTCCAGCTGACGGGGTCCAAGTGACACAGTTGGGGGGACACGGTCCGGGTGACATAAGTTGGGGTGACGCATTCAGGGTGACACATTCAGGGTGACATCGTGTCGGGTGACATGGTTGGGGTGATGTGGGTTGGGGTGACACAGGTCTGGGTGACGGGGTCCGGGTGACACAGTCCGGGTGACAGCGTTCAGGGTGACGCGGTGTTGGGTGACACGTGTCCGGGTGACATAGGTCCGGGTGACACAAGTCGGGGTGACACAAGTCGGGGTGACACAGTGTCCGGGTGACATGGGTCCGGGTGACACATGTCCGGGTGACATAGGGGGACGTAGGAACCCATAGGGCGACACAAGGTGGGGTGACGCCGTCGGGGTGACGCCGTCGGGGTGACGCTGTCCGGGTGACGCTGTCCGGGTGACGCCGTCCGCCTGTTGCAGGGACTGGTGCATCTCCCGGCAGCTCTGGTGGGGCCACCGCATCCCGGCCTATTTCGTCACCGTGCGGGACCCCAGCGTGGCCCCCGGGCAGGTGGGGGCGCTATGGGGCGCTATGGGGCGCTATGGGGCGGGGG